AGTAAATGTGATCTGTAAAATTAAATATAACTCTCTCCCTAGGTCTTTGCACAAGCCATAAAATTTGTCTCCTTTCAAATATGAAATAAAAAAGACACAAAACGCCATCTCTCTGATGATAATGAAAGAAAGGAACATTTGAAAATAGAAACTCTGGCATTCTTTAGCTATATTGGTGATACAGAGTTAAACATTTTTAAAGAAAGTAAGCATGAGATTAGTTTTCATTCAAAAGTTGGGAAAACAAGCAAAATCTCTAAGCAAAATGTAGCCTTCATTGTCAACTCATGTTGAACTTGGTGTTAAGGAAAATCCCTTGGTAATGTGACGTTTTATCAAATCAGATCTTCCCTTTCCATACTGTGAAAAGGTCTTATAAAAAAAATACTGAATAATATGCAGAAGTTGTTATGATAGAGTACCAATTTAAAAAGTCATTTCTGAAAATTAAATAAATAAATAAATAAATAAAAATAAATAAAAAGTCATTTCTGGATTATATATAAAGTCTTATTTTTGTAATAATAATAAGATGATAGTGAGAACAGAAATTTGACATGCATATACCATAATGTTAGCACTTAACCTGGAATGATGAGATTAATGGTAAATTATTTTTCCTTATTACTTGTCTTTTCTAAATTTTCTGCTATGAATATATATTTTCTAAGAAGTGAAGAGGAGCCTTTTAAAAGCAGTATTTTTTTTAAGTTAAAAAAAATTACTTGCCCAATTTCCTGCTCTAGTAAAAGTAAATCAGGCCTGAGTAAACTGAAAATGATGATTCTCTGCTAGTTTAGTGGTAAAATCAGGAAGATGAGCCAACAATTTATTCATACAGTGAATAACACTCCAACTTCTACTTTTACTCCATATTGTTTTTGTAAGACCATCATTTATCTTCATAATGACTAACACATTCAACATACTTACTTCAGACACTGTGTTAAACACTATCTCACTTCATCCTAACGACAGACCTGAGGACCAGGACACAATGTACTTCATAATCTGTAGAACTTACTCTTACTGACAAAGTCAAATGCAATGGCCCAGAAGATTCATCTAAGCAGCAATTCAGAAAGAATGACTTAATCATGGAAGAAATTCTTATGTACAGTGGGAAAAGGAGACTGTTTCTCTCTCAGCAATATGCCTTCCTTGGTTCATACATGGCATATTTAAAATAAATGCCTGATGTAGTAGAGCATTCAGAATGTTAGAATGGGATGGGATGGAATGATATGGAATGGAATGGTGGATGCATTTAAGGATACAAGGCGTGACTGTATTTTTACTTAAATATGCAGCTCAGCTTCTGAAGTGGGAAATGAAGAATTGCACATTTGGTTCAACTAGTGCAAATGATGTGTATGCAAGTCTCGCAGGAAAAGGAAATGACAGTGAAGATGAAATAAGATTTCAAGAAGTCGTTACAGAACACATGAGCAACCTGGAGAAGAGAACCCAGTATCTTTCAGATAACCAAGCCAATTTCATAGAGTCTGAGAATTTCCAAAATTTCAGTGTAGTGACTGATCAAAGATTTAATGATGTTTTTCTCCAGCTAAGTGCCTTGGCTTCCTTCATCCAGGGACATGGAAATGCAATAAGTGAAATCTCCAATTCATTGATAAGTCTGAACACCACATTGCTTGATTTGCAGCTTACTATTGAGACACTGAATGGCAAAGTCCAAGAGAATGCATTTAAACAACAAGAGGTAAGAGTTTTTGTATTGGAAGGTCACATGCTGGGATTGAATCCATTTGGATCCTGTCTCTGCAGAAGTTCGGGGGTGGCAGCAGTGGTGGGGAGAGTTGCAAACCCTGTTTCAAAGTTATCCTACTTACCCTGATTCCCCTGGTAATTTTACTGGAAGGTTTCAAATGGATTTACCTAGTGCCTTTTCCAGGTTCCCAGCAAAAGGATAAGTTTGTGTTTTCATTGAATATAAACTTTTTTAATGTATTTTAATTTTACAAATACTCTTAGAATGTCTCTTGGGACTGTCTAAGCCAATTACAGTTTTTAGATTATCTTAACAGGTTGAAACAGACACTGTATTTGTCAATTTTATAACAAACCCAAAATTTCTTCATCAGCAAAGGACTGGAAACTTTATTTACATGGGTAACTTACAAAATCTAAATTTCAAAATAGTTAATTTTGTCACTCTGAGAAAGTATACATAAGGCTTTATGTATAAAGGTAACTAGAATTGAGGAATTAAAGTTTGAATAATGTAAACATCTTATGACCATCATAGGATCAAATACACCAGACAAAAGAGCAAGACATTCTAGACCAGTTGCAGCAAAAATTTCTTTGCAAAGGCCCAAATATAATACTTAGGCTTTGGGGACCACATGGTCTCTTTTGCAACTTCTCACCTCTTCCACCATAGCACAAAAGTGGTCATAGACAATCTGTAGACAGACGAGAGAAAATGTGATCCAATAAATCTTTATTTACAAAAATACTTTGACCCACGCACGGATCATAATTTTCTCATCTCTGCTCTAGACTATTCTGTGGCCAGCCCTCTGGATAATTTTGTATTGATGAGAAAGAAATCAAGAAGCAAGTTGTTTATTTCAAAACTGGATTATTTTTGTTGTTGTTAAGTAATTATAATTATTCCTTTACGTGAAAAACAAGCATATAGCTAAAACTTTACTACGCATGTGAAAAAATAATATTACAGAGTATCAAAACCCTGAGATGGTGCTTAATGTGAAATCTGTATGTTTTCCACCATTAGCTAAGAAATGCTAGCATCTTTGTAGTAGACTTTGAGGAAAATATCAGTTATGGGAGTAGAAACTGATTAAATTGGACGGAAAGGAGAAGGGAGGAGAAAAATAACTTTGTGTAGAAACGGGGTCAGAGGAGCAGTGCTCAGAACAGGGTGAGGAGAAAAAGAGTTGGACACACTGAAAGAATAAGAATGTACTTGATACTGGTAATGCCCCCAATCCATCAGAGACTGTAGAATATCTATGATTCCACATAAAAGAGAAATTGAAACCAGATTGGAAGCCATTTGGTGGGCAGTAGAAGTCCTAAATATGTTTGAAGTGATAATTGGTTGAAATTATCAAAATCTGGTGATGAGTGAGCTGTTTGTGTTTGGATTTTGCACTTAGGTTTTGGAAGGGGTCCCCACATTAGAAATGGGGGAGGGAGTACAGGGGAATGGGGGAGCTTCCAAAGCTAATTTTTTTTAAAGCTTTTTCAAATTTTTTAAGGCAGTAGTCATTTGTAGAGATTTGGAAATTAAGTCAGTGCTAGTGTGTATGTGTATGTATGTGTGTGTGTCTGTGTGTGTGTCTGTCTGTCTGAGCACTTGCTCACTGAAAACAATATTTGAGATCTCATTCCCATTGCTTAATCTATTTGATTCATCTTTGAGTCTTTAGCTCAATGCAGAAATAAGTAAATTAAATGAATGCCTGAATCAGTTAATGCTGTTTGAGGAAAAGGCTTATAAGTAATACCAAAGTAATATTTATCAAGGACAGACCAAGCATTAATTTGAAAGAGAAAAATAAAAGAGGGAAGTAGAATTGATCATCTCCATTGTGGGTAGAAACAATTGAAAGAACACGAAATTAAATGCCTGTTTTCTACCAGTGCCACCGGTGGTAGAGTGTGGGACATGTATGTGGATGCTGTGTAGGACTTCTAAAAATAGTATCAGGTGCACTTTATCTCTTCCTGATAAAATTATTTCAAGTGAAATCCAGTTAATGTGAGCAGCATATGCAGTTTTCAAAGAAAGGGAAAAAGGCAACCTCAGCTTTAGGGATGAAAAACATGGTTGATTTCCAGGTCTTAGGTGACAAAACCATCTGCTAGTCCCTTGACCTTTGCTCTGTGGATATCTGGGACCACCTGACAGAGCTGGAGCAATTTGTAGGCACCTAAATTAAGTCTAGCACATTTATCACGTTGCTGTGCCCCTCAAACATCCACGTTCACTGTTCCACCTTTATACCAAATTGGACGGAAGATGCCAAATAGAGGAGGTAGAGGGTAGAGATATCCTAATCAAGAACAAGATTTTGGATGGAGGAAGACACAGTTGGAGCAGTGAAAACTGAAGACTCTGCTTGAGGACAGTGCTGGAGGAGAGGCAAATCTGGATATATGTTCATTCTTTCCACAGGTTTTACTTGACTGTCTCACCTCAACTTGTCCACTCTAGTGGAGGGAAGTATAATTTTCTCTTTATACTCAAATTAAGGAGCAATACACCACTGGTTTCTTAAAAGGAAAAGTAATAAAGAAAAATACTGTCAAGAACTTTAAAACTGGATATTTAATTTCATCATAATTCTAAAAGCAAATTACACAAGAATTTCTTATGTCTACTGTTACTCTGAAAACCTTAATATGTTGATAATACCCAGTATTTGATGGCAAAAAGTAAGCACTGATATACAATGAGTAAGATTTTTTAAATGATACTGCATATTTGGAAGGCAGTATGGCAATATTGAACAAAATTTGTATTTAGTCCCTTTGATCAGATCCACTGATATAGAAGCGCTTGAGTAAATATGTAAATATCTATAAAATGGTGTTCCTTTCAGTATTATTTAAAGTTGTAAAAACAAATGTGCTACTAGACTATCAATAGGAATCAAATACATTATTAAAAATACATACAATATAATTCTACTAAATTATACACAATAAGGCAGTCTCTAAGTACTTTAAGAGGTAAATATTCTTAATGTATTATTAAGTGAAAAATAAAAGCATATTGCAGAATGTACTGTGATCTCTCAATGTTCACAATCTCTATATATTAATGCATGTGTGTAAATACACACAAAGTATATGTGCATTTGAAAACATAAAATAATGAAATCTTAAATACAGAGGCAACAAAAATTGAAAGATACTGTTAATATGCTAGTTGTGATTGTATTGAGTCTGCAAAGCTATCCTTAATGTTCATTACTACTGAGAATTATGACATTAACCTTTTATTGCTATAAAACAATTTAATACACAAATCTACTGAATTCATAGCATTGGAATTACTCTAAGTACAGCATAAAGAATTTCACTTCAGACAAATTAAAAACCATATGACAAGCTTTTTTTAGCATTTTTATGTCTATATATTTGAGAATAGAAGCATACCTTAAATATATATTTAACCAATTTTTTTTTTCTGGCAGGGACTGTGAAAATTCAGCCATTCAGTTAAAAGAGAAAATGCTTCAAAACCAAAGGCTCCAAAACAGTGCTTTGAAAGAGTTCTCTAATTTCCATATTCTTATTCCATTATATTCCTATAATGTTATAATGTGTCTTTAAAAAAACCTGACTTGCAGGGCTTCTTAAAATTATGTGTTAGGTAATTACATGTATAATAAAATTGCTGATGTTTGCTCATGTTTCACAGGGGATGAGCAAATTGGAGGAGCGTGTGTACAATGCATCAGCAGAAATTATGTCTCTGAACGAAAAACAAGTGCATTTGGAACAGGAAATAAAAAGAGAAGTGAAACTGTTGAATAACATCACTAATGATCTCAGGCTGAAGGACTGGGAACATTCTCAGACCCTGAAAAATATCACTTTAATTCAAGGTAAAATATCTTCTCATTCCTCCAGAAAATGACATGTTAAAAGATACTGATGTATGTAGAAATTTGGTATTTGAAGTTCTATGGTTTAAAATAGTTTGGGGTTATACATTTACTACAAATACCCAGAGGAAGGAGACGAGATGATATCAAGACATATTAAGACAACAATATCTTGGTATCCTTTAAATAGAAAGTAATGGGAGAAAATGAAATCTCACTTAAGTTTTAATGAGTTATTGTTCAGAGTATGTCATATGTACTGAAAGTAAATCCAAATTTTCTGTAAGGCACAAAGTTCTCTGTGTGCCTAAATCAAACTTGTTAATTCTGCTTCTCTAAACTTCCAGATTCTTTCTTCTTACCTGATTGATTGTATTATTAGTTAGAAAGGTCTTTAGAATTTTCCCAAATAACAAGTAATTTGTTCATCTCTTCTTCAGCTCCTGTGAGTAAAACAAGGTGAATTGAATCATACTGTTTTCAGTTCGTATATACAACATACATATTTCTACACTAACTTTTAGTCATTATTTACATTTTAAATATTTTTCCCATATTTTACTTTCAACCTTTTGGTATCCTTTGTACTAGGTTTGTCTCTTGTCAAGAACAGTTTCTAAAATTTACTGTGCAGTGTGGCCATCTCTTTTCACTATGCTTATTAAATTTTACTGTCTTGTTTTGTGCTCTGCTTTTGTCCAGTTCTGTATTCCTTTTGCTTTCTTTTCTTGTTAACTTTTGGGTTGTTTGAGATTTTTGTCAATAAACTTTTCTCTCTACCAAAGGCACCAAAAAAGATGTTGGGAACTTTATAGTTATTTTTATTTTGTTGATAGTTGTCCTTGAAATTTACCTTGAAGTTGCAAATTGATCGGTATCTTCACCTTACCATGAAACAGACAAGGAACTTAAAATGCTCTGCTGACCCACTTCCCTAGTTTCCTTCTGTTTTTGAGTACAGCTCATTTCTATTGTATGTATTTTTTTAAACCAGAAATTTTGTCAATATTATTTTTCTTACATTATGCAAACAGTATTTGTTTAGATTTACCAGTTTTTCCTCCTTCTAAGTGCATCTGTGACATCTCTTCTGGGATCACTTTCCTTCTTCCTGAAGTACATTTTTTGGAGGTTCATTTAGTGAAAGTCCACTGGTGGTGAGATCTGTTGATTTCATTTTTTCCATTTTGTCCTTGATCTTTAAAATTGCTTTACTACCTGCATATTTCTTAGGGTGACAGTTACTTTGGTGAGTTCCATCTATATTTTCTTCTGGTTTCTGGCCTTTCTTGTTGCTTTTCAAATGATTGCTGCCAAACTGCTGGTCAGTCTCTTTATCTTTAATACCTATTGTTCTACTAATCTGCATTTTTACATTAACAATTTTTCCATTTGGCATTCGTTTTATTTCATTTTCTTCTTAAATCCACTTCTACTTGTGGATTTAAGTCTATCATAAATATGGGAACATTATCAGCTTCAGTCTCTTTGAATATTGCCTCTTCACAATTCTCTCTGCCCTTTCCTCTGTAACCCTAATTAAATTCATGTTGGATTTTCTTTTTCTAGCTACCATATCTGTTAAGCTCTATTTTATAATTTTAGCCGTTACATCCTATGAGTAATAAGAGAAACAGAAATCTATGCAATTTCACTTTACATAACACTAGGATAATTAAGAAGTCTTAATGTCCAAGTTTTTACAGGAAAAGAAAAATTAAAAAACAAGTCCCAGGAGACTCTATATTGTATAATTTTTGTTTCTAATGTTCACAATTTACCAAAAGCAAATAATGTATATTTACCAATACATACACATGTAATAAGAATGGTTGTTTTAAAAATGCAAGAAACTGAGAAACACATCAGCTTAATGATGATGATGATGATTTTGGTTAATGATTTTTTTTGAAAAGGAAGTAGATGAATGGGACTGGTGAGCAGCTAGATCGATAGCTGCTCATCTGGTTGTTATGTTGCAGGTGTATTCTATTTATTATTGTGCTTTGTAGTTTAATTATATAGAACATTCCACATGTATTCTTAAATTATTACATTAAAACCAGTGATAAAGACAAATTTAAATTAATCCACTTTTTCACCAACAATTAGACATTCCCACTTGGGATTGCAAATAAATATCCCAAACTTTACAAATCCACACTTCAAATCATTAGTTCTGGAGCACCTACCCCCATCCATCCCTCAAATCTATTGCTTCCCCAGTCTTATCTGTCAGTTGAGTCATTGTCCAACTGATACCTCACTCCAAGATCTTGGACACAAGCTTTGATCTCCTCTTTCTCTCACTCCCTATGTCCAATCCACATGAGTCCTGTTAACTCTTCTTGACATGCACTAAAATGCCTTCTCCCTCTCGCCTCTGCTGCTGTTCTGACTCAGGCAGCTGTAGTCCAGTCCTGTGCACTGAATCAGCTTCGCTACTGTTCTCCCTGATTTCACAATTTAAAACAATTTTTTATATTTAAAATTAAAAAAAATTTTTGTGAGGGGAATTAGTTTTATTTTATTTATTTATTTATTTATTTGATGGTCCAGGGGATCAAACCCAAGACCTCGTGCATGCCAAGCACGTACTCTACCACTGCGCTATACTGTACTCTCCCCCTTCCCTGATTCTGCTCTTGATCCATTCTACAGAGAGCAAAAGAGTGCTATCCAAAAAAATAATAATAATAATACATTATTAGATCTTCTCTTTCTTACGACCTTCCAGTATCTTCCCACTGGGCTTGGAATGAAATCTGAACTCCTAATTGACCTGACACTCACCTACTTCTCTGACTTCTTTTCTAATCTGCTCTCGGTCCTTCGCTCTAGCCTGAGATCTGGAAGAATGAAAGTGCATGAAAAAGTATAAGTTATTAAGGAGGAAGTGCTGGTTTCACTTCTTGCTCTCCGCAGTGTGCACGAGATGCCTTCTCTTTCTTTAAATGTTCTCTCCTGGATGTCCATTCCTTCCTGGGTCTACTCAAAATTACCTTGTTAGAGATAATCTCTCCCTCTTCCATTCTCATTTTTATCCCCCGTCTCTCTGTGTCATTGGTGCTGTGACTTCCTCAGAGTACTCAGAACTGCATGATGTGGATTCACATACACAGTCACTCTCTGTTTATCATGCGTGTTCTGTGATGGAACGTGAGCTCCATGCGGTTGGAGCTCATCTCTCCTGTCCACCTCTCCACGCCGGCACCGATTAGAGGGCCTGGTAGATAGTGGGTAAGCGATTGTATCTGTACTGGATGAAGAAGTGAAAGTAACACTTCTCTTTTATGAAGTTACACTTTGTAATGGCAATTTCATTCTTCCAGGTTTCTAAGACAGAAATTTTAATTGTTGTCATTTTTTTTCCTCCCAGGAATATCATTAGTTCTTAGGTTCCACATTCTCTATCCCTTTCTCACTTGTTTGTATTTGTGTAAACTATTCTTATCACTACTCTGCCAGAATGTTTCAATAGTCTCCCATTTATTTCCTGCCTCAGTCTTTCAGACTACGATCCTTTCTGCTCTTGTTAGAATGCAGCCTTCCTAGAGGGAAACCCTAGGTTACAAAAAGCCTCTCTGTTGCCTCCTTATTAGACACATTTCTCTCTGTAGCACCCTAAGAGCTTCTATACTGTGTCTCTTAGTGACTTGAATGCCTCATTCTCTCTTTTCTCTTTTGTAAACCAGTGTACCAATTGATGTTACTGTGATTCTAACATATCCATTACTTTTTACATCCTGCCTCTTGCCTTTTCCTCCACTTGAAATGATATCTTTCCTCTTCTGTTTATATCTGAAAATATCTATCATTAATGTCCATATAGTATGCCACCTCTTACATGAAGCCTTTTCTGCTTCCCCCGGATTTTTATAAGGATCTAAATATGAGGGAAGACTGAGAACAAAGTGAGGAGTTTATGATCATCATGAGCAGGACACGGAGAAGCACAGCTCTGGAAATGTTGGCAAATATTATTAATATTATTAGTGCTATGTTATCATCTGAGGATTTTAAGTGATATAATATTCCTGGGTTTGCTTTTCCAGTAAAACGGATAATTTTGATCTATGATATTTTTAAATTGCTGAATATTTTAAATCAGTACATCTCTGTGGCCATGTAGAAACCTGAGTTCTTTTTCCCGTAACGTGGCAGAACAGATGGCTACGTTTCTTTACAGCTGATGCAGACATTTGTTTTTAAACTGAAACTGAAGGAAATATGAGGGTAAAATAGACAAAATATGTTCAGACCAGGTTAAAAATAAAACAACAACTCTAGACTAGTCCAACTGCAGGATGGTTTATGAATGACAGCAGGATTGGAGAGACAGGTTTTCGGAGAAAAGCTTAAGAGCATTGTATTGATAATGTTCTCAAAAGTTCTACACAGGGAGCTATGAGAAAAGTAGTATGTCATCTGTTTACCTCCATCCCTCCAAAATATCTGAAAGACACTAAAACCATTTGTTGAGATACTTCCCACATTTTGTTCCAGGCAGTAGAAGTCTAACATCTTAAAAATGAAACACAATATAATAGGTGAGATTAATGCTACATAAAAACTAAAATAACAATAAAAATGTAATGTCCAGCACATCTAGTTAGAACTCTCTAAGGGAAGCCTTAACCTGGTTTTCTTACTCTGGGATTCAGGTAGTTGGTATCAGTATTTTTACATAAAAATAGACAAAGGGATCTTTAACTCAGAATTTTATAAAGTAACACAGATGTATTTTTGTGATTGAATTAATGCTCCCACTTTTTTTGTTTGCCTTTATTGAAGTATAATCATTACAATGTTGTGTTAATTTCTGGTGTGCAACATATTTCAGTCATACATGTACATAGATACATACATTCTTTTTCATTATAGGTTACTAGAAGATATTGAATATAGTTCCCTGTGCTACACAGTAGAAACTTGTAGCTTATCTATTTTATATATAGTAGTTAGTATCTACAATCTCGAACTCTCAATTTATCCCTTCCCATACCTTTACCCCTGGTAACCATAAGTTTGTTTTCCATCTCTGTGAGTCTGTTTCTGTTTTGTAAATAAGTTTGTGTCATTTTTTTAGATTCCATGTTTAAGTGATATCATATTGTATTTTTCTTTATCTGGCTTACTTCACTTAGAATGACTATATCCATGTCCATCAATGTTGCTGCAAATGACATTATTTTATTTTTTTTATGGCTGAGTATTGTTCCATTTGTGTGTGTATGTGTGTGTGTGTGTGTGTGTGTATCACAACTTCTTTATCCAGTTATCTGTAGATGGACATTTAGGTTGTTTCCTAAATGTTGTCTTGGCCACTGTAAATAGTTCTGCTGTGAACATCAGGGTGCTTCTATCTTTTCAAATTAGAATGCTCCCACATTTTGTTCTGTGTATAATTACTATACACAGTTACATGCAAAATAATTGAAAGGGTAGTTGGTGATTATGAAAGAGTTCCATTTCTTACTTATTAAAGAAATGGTGACAGCTCCTCGTCTCAGAGGCGAAGAGCCCAGAGCTAGTCTGTGTCCCCTCTTTCTTGTCTCACGCCTTCTAGCTTTTCCTGGAACGTCTGTGCCTTGCTTTAGAGCCCTAATCACTAACTCAGAGTCTTTGTGTGTGCACTTTTTTTTGCAAAATGTCATCCTGGAGTACTGTGAATTTGCTTTCCTTCAATTTGCTCAGCAAAATTCAGGCTGCAAATTGAGTCTTTCTGTCCTGCTGGTCCCCTCCTTTGTCACCGTGCAGAGATGAATGAGCTGCAGTTGTGTTCACAGTTGTGGCGGTTAAAACCTCTTTGTTGGGAAGAACTACGCCCTGCATGGAATAGGAGATGTGTAGCTTCCCATGACCGTAAAACCATGACATTGCTTATATAACACCCAGGTGTATGTTCCCAACACCAAGCTATATCATAGGAGCATTTGCTAGTTGTTACTACAACTGCCTAATGCCCAGGAGTGTGTAGTTTGCATGATGATTATATAAAACAAACAAAAAGAAAAAAAATAGACACAACACAAACAGAACATTTGTAAATGGTTATTCTCTCAAGATGATAGAATTATGAATTATATTTTTCCTCTTATTTTTTCTAGGCTTTTATATTTCCTATAATAAGTAGAGTTGCTTTTGTAATGAAAGTGCAATAAGACATTACTGCCCAGTGGTGTCTAGGAAGAGAGATGGATAAGGTACCATTGAGAAGCAGGACGATATCTAAGTAACCAGGGAGGGAAAGTCCCGAAACCCAAACTGAACCTCAAAAAATCAGAAACAGATCAGAAAAATGGAGAGAAGCAGGGACAAAGATTTCAAAAAAAGCAAAAGAAATGGACAGTGTATACTTATTCAATGAGATCATTTTTATCTATTTGTGAATTCCCTCTTATTTTCATTTACCTTCAATTTTCAGGTATTATATCTTCCCACCTGATTAAAAATTGTAAACAAGTGCTCTCTAACCATTGATGCTAAACATAATTGTGTGTTGACCTTGAGTTATGTGGCTGAATCGCAAGAATTGAAAATGCCTCTTTCAAAACATTGCTATTTGATTATTCTATGGTACATCCAGATTTGTTTCTTCCTTTTGGAACTGAAAATTGCTAAGTGTTCTGCTTTAAATGAAGGGACTAATACTTGTCCCGTAGCAGTCCAAGTGGAATAGGGACATACTCAGTGCCATATTGCTAAAGAGGTGGTCACCAAATATCTGTTTTGCTGGGCACAGAAAATTCACATGATGAAATCAGTGTTGCTCAAACTCAGTACCAGGGGGACACCGTGGTAATTGTGAGCCTAAATAGTTAAAATCTTCCTTGCAACCTACCCGACTTATTTTATGATACCTACATCCATCTAGGAATTCCTCTCTAGGAATTCCACTTGAAAAGACATTCCTTTAGCCATTTTCACTTTCCTCCCTTCCCCCACATCCCTCCTGCTTGCCCAGAATTCTCCTTCTTCTCATTCTACCCTTTCCGCAAAGTATCCTGCAAATCCTACCTCCTCCCTCAGTAAAGTCTTTTCAGCCATTGCTGCTCATGCTGATCAGCATCTAACAAATACCCAAGCTTCTCATTTTCAGCAGCATGGTTTGGGGTTGTCCACTGCTGTGTGTGGAGTTTGGTTTCCCTGGAGGGTATCACATGACTTATAAGTCTTTATTCATTAATTCTCCACAGAACATCTAACTCAGTATAATGAAATCTGCCTATTGGTGAGGTAACAGGGAGGTATTCCGGGAGTCTTAGTCATCAGCCAGCCTCCTGGTTCCAGCCAGTCTGGGGTCGTGTGCTTGTGGTCAGCATGTAATCACCACCCTCCGCCTGGGTGGGGGTCTTAGCTTCTGCAGAACTACTCAAAGATGTGCGTCAGACTGTCGTATATGTCCCTCGAGGATAAACTAGGGCTCTGTTTTATCACTACTGACCATTTTTGAAGCTCTCCTTACTGTTCTTGCTTGACTGCCTCTCCTTTATTTATGCTCCCTCACGTCTCTGATTGGTAACTTCTCTGCCTGCTCTTTGGAGCTCAGGGAAGGCCTAGGAGATGAAAGGCTTTTTCTTTTTTTAATACAGACAAGAAATAGGGGACCTGTTTAAGAAGTTGTGGTATATGTATATGTATGTATGTGTATATATATTGTGGAATACTACTCATTTGTAAAAAGGAATAAAATAATGCCATTTGCAGCTACATTGATGGACCTGGAGATTATCATAGTAAGTGAAGTAAGCCAGACAGAGAAAGAAAAATACCATATGGTATCACTTGTATGTGGAATCTAAAAAAAAGATGCAAATGAACTTATTTGCAAAACAAAAACAGACTCACAGACATGGAGAACAAATTTATGGTTACTGGGAAGTAAACGAGGTAGAAAGGGATAAATTGGGAATTCAAGATTTGCAGATACTATCTACTATATAAAATACATAAACAAGTTTTTCTGTATAGCACAGGGAACTATATTCAGTATCTTGTAGTAACCGATATTGAAAAAGAATATGAAAAGGAATATATGTATGTATATGTATGACTGAAACATTATGCTGTACATCAGAAATTGATGCAACATTGTAAACTGACTATACTTCAATAAAAAAAGAAAAACAAAACAAACAAACAAACAAACAAAAAAACAGGGGACCCAAAGGGGCTTTTGTATCCTGGAAGGCCCTATGGGGTCCTGTTTGGTGTCATTGCCCCCTTTTCTTTGATATTCCTCAATCCTAGGGGGAACAGAGAATAGGGGACCAAAAAAGGGGAAAAAGGTTTGGATAGAGAAGTCAATCATCAACTTGGCAGGGGAACTCGTTTTAGGGGGACTGTGTGTCATGCCCAGTAGGTACACAGTACTCATGTGGGTTTGTGCCATCGTTGACCCGGTGTCTTTTCTCTGCCCCCAGGATCTGTGAACCTAGAACAGTGCTGGGCACATTTCAGTACAGAATCCACAATTAGGTTGTCTAATTTAGGGCTGTCTCATCATTGCACTACTCAGTAGCAGGGTCTGCTTCCACTGGGGAAGGTCATTCTTACTCATTCTGTGTAATCGAACAACAGATAAAAGGCTTTGGGTTTGCCTGTGTAACTGTCTTGACAGATGACAAATGCATTTTACCTGTGCTTTAAAACTATGATCAGTAATTGTCATTTATTTTTTAAAGGTCCTCCTGGACCTCCAGGTGAGAAAGGAGATAGAGGTTCCATCGGAGAAGTTGGTCCACGAGGTGTTCCAGGTCCAGTAGGTATGGTAATAGTAACCACTCCATCCTACACTACAGGGCTAGGTAATAGACATCCATGGATGTGTGCAGGGGTAGGAGCCATCTGATTGGTTCCCTGTGTGGCATGTGTGTGCATGTGTGTGTGTGTATTGAGGGGATATTAAATGGTCCGGTAGCCTAATCACTATAATGTACTGAATGGTAAGCACTGAATTGATTTTTGAAGAAAGTTAGATGCTTTAACAACATGGGGTTGCTCATAAGTCTAGGGAGTGCTGTCTACTCACTGACTACAAACAGTGTTTGGCAGACCTAGCTTTGGGTCACATGTGAAGGAGAACACGAAAACCGTCTTCGCATTGAATATATTTGCAAGTTATCTGGTTTTTAAAATACAAAAAAAAAACCCAAATTAATATGGGGGGAGGGTATAGCTCAGTGGTATAACTGGAACTTACCTGCTTAAACCTATGCAATCTCACTGTAAATATTGACCAGAATACAGATGACTTTGATTTTGCTGTGAGCCACTCTCTGTATCTTATTCAGAGAAAAATTGTTTCAAGTTATTTTCCATTGTTTTGTAAACTTGAAAGTAATATTTTGAAAGAAGATAATAGAAGACAGAAAAGGAGAAAGAGCATGAACTTTCTTTGCTCTTAAGAAAATAAAGGAGATAATAATAGTAACATGACCATCATGATATTCATGGCTAGGAATAAACACCTGCATGCTTTTTGAAAGTAGAGAGTATATTGCATGGTCTAATTATAACTAGAATGATGTGTGCTGCTAAAAAATGTCTAAACACCATGAACTTCATCTTATTTTTCTGTGTTTGGATTATATAAAATGTTCTTCTTTTTGATCAATGTATCGACCAGCCCAGGTTACATCAGAAAAACAATTTTTAAAAATGAAAAGCATGAATTTGACACATACCTGCCCTTTACATCATAGTGCTTAAAAAGCCAATATATAGAGTTTACATTAAAAAAAAGACTTTAAAGTTTTTTGAAAAAATATATATATAGGGTGAATTGTTGGTTTGCTTTTGAAGGTACTGCCAGGTAAGATTCTGTATTCAGAAAAGTCCTTCTACTTGACTAGCACTCAGCAGATCTTAGCAGTGGTGCATTAATGTCACAAGCAGGGGAAGTCACCAGCGTTAAATCATCTGCCAGAGCGGCTATTGTCAAAGGTCTGTCAGCTCCTCCGTTACAAATTGCAATTGTCAAAGCTTTATAACTCAACCATAAAAGTTCAGTCTGGGCTACCACTTGCTGTACAAAGCATCATCTTGGGACCATCTTTTGCAGCTGCTTCTGAACTATGGCTGTATGAAACAGAAAGAGGGATTTTAAAGTTTCAGCTTTCATTAATACCGTGAACAGACACTATTGCAAAGCTGCTTTGATTCTTCAAGTGAGGTTTTAGTCTGCTGCTGGTGGTACTGCTCATATACATAAATAGGCGTTATCCAGCCCCTCAAAAAAGAGAGGCAGATTTCACTGCTGGTGTGGTAGATTGACTCTTGGATTATTAGGTTGCCATTTGATTTGGTGCACCACAGCAAAAATACTGATGTGGCCAGGCATCTCTCCTGCCTAACTGCTGCATTCTGTCTTGTTCTTGGCCAGACTGCCCGTTTTCCCCATGCTTGGTCTTGGAATCAGAAAGTTAAGCGTCTGTGATAGACTGTCATGGTAATCCTACGTCCTGTTTTCAGCAAGTTTAGGAAGACTCCCCCATACACACAGTCGGGCCCACTAAATGCAGCCTGAGTCACAACTGTGATAGGAAAATCTGAGAAAAATGAGTGCTTATCCTAGTGGTCTTAAATGATCAATATAGTAAATATATTACAATTGTTTCTCATGTCCTGGGATGGATATTACCTTAAATAATATAATAGAAATCCATTTCAGAGTGCCATTTTCTTGCAAGCACGCGAGAATGACCTAAATAGAAAAAAATGTTTCCTGAGACCTTTCTTGCACCTGATGCTCTACGAGGCCGCAGGGTCTGTGCACAGGAATGGCGTCTTTACCGTCACAGAACTGCCAGCATGACAAGTAGTTGTATCAGGGTGATGAATGCCGTGATCGAGGATTCTTGATCTCATCTCATCCCTTCTGGGGACCACGTTTAGAATGGACATTCCCCCATGACAGCAATGCCTTAAAGAAAGGATACTTCCTTGGTTCCTAAAGGAACC